AGTAGCAGCAGCAGCGACGAGGCAGGTGCACTGAAGGAACCTGCAAAGCCAAAACAACGCAGCAGCAACAGCAGCAGCAGCAGCAACAACAACATGAGAAACAGCAGCAGCAACAGCAAATCTCGCAGCATCAGCAGAAATGGCGGAGCAGCAGCAGCAGCAACAGCAGCAGCAGGCTCGCAGCAAAACCCTAATCTGCAGCGGCAGGTGGAGCCCAGACCTACTGCTGCAGCTGCCGCAGCAGCAGCAGACGTAGTAGCAACAGCAACAAAGTTAGCTGCCACTGCAGCAGCAAGTGCTGCAGCAGCCGCAGCAGCAGCAGCAGCAGGGCCAGCTGCAGCAGCAGGCGCGCCAAAAGTAGCAGGTGCAGCAGTAGGGGCAGCAACGACAAATCAAAAGGCAACAGCAACAGGATCTGCTGCTGCAGCAGCACCGAGCAAACCTGTTGCTGCTGCTGCCGACGGGGTGAGGCGTTTGCGGCTGTCTCCCCTGCCTGCTGAAGCAGCAGCAGCAGCAAAAGCAACCGCAGCAACAACAGCTGCAGCACCAGCTGCCGCATCGCGAAGCTCCAAGACGGGGCCTAGCAGCGCCTTAGCACCAGCAGCAGCAGCAGCAGCAGCAGCAGGAATATCAACGCCGGCAGCAGCAGCCAAATCTACAGCAGCAGAATTGACAGCGAGGATTCCGTCTGCTGCTGAGGGCGTAGCGCTGCCACCTTCCTGCAAAAACCCCGCAGCAGCAACAGCAGCAGCTACTGCTGCTGCTGTTGCTGCTGTTGAAGAGGATAGCGACAAGGACCCATGGCTGCCTGAACCCACCGCTGCTGCTGCTGCTCCTGCTGCTGCTGCTGCCGCTGCTGCGGCTGAGAAGCCTTCTTTATTAATAAGCGATGCAAAAGCCTCTAGAGGCATACGCCCAGGAGGTGCACATGAGAAGCAAACAGCAGCAGCAGCAGCAGCAACAGCAGCAACAGCAGCAGCAGCAGCAGCAGGGCAGCAGCAAGGAGGATGGCGAAGTAGAAGGAGTAGAGATCTGTCTCCTACCAGCAAATACAACAAACACAGGAGGCACAGCCGCAGCAGAAGCAGACGCAGCAGCAGCAGAAGCAGCATAAGCAGCAGCAGCAGCAGCAGACGCTATCACCATGTGGGGCCCCACATGCACTTCAAACGCAACCGCAGCAGCAGCAGGGAAAGTAGAAAAAGAAGCAGAGGGAGAGACAGGATCTCTCGCGGCCCTTGGAGGCGCAGCAGCAGCAACAGCAGCAGGAGCAGCAGCAGCAGCAGCAGACGTAGACACCGCAGCAGCAAACACCGAGGAGACAGCAGAAACAGAGATCTACGAAGAGATCGATACACCCACAACTCTCCCGGAGGTTGGCGAGGCAGACCCTATCACAGCAGCAGCAGCAGCAGCAGCAGCAGCAGCAGACAGCATGCCAGCCACAGATACCGCAGCCCTTCACCTCGACGAGACCGCTTTAGCCACCTGAAGCTGCATGCGCCCTACTACTCGCAGCAGCAGCAGCAGCAGCAGCAGCAGCAGAGGCGGCAGCAGCAACAGCGGCAGCAGCAGCACCTGTCTCCAGGAAGACGTTCACGCTCTCCCGCAGGAAGCACAAACAGCAGCAGCAGCGGCAACAGCAACGGCAGCAGCAACAGCAGCAACAATAGCAGCAACAGCAGCAGCAGCCAAAGAGGCAGCAGCAACATGCATGCCACCAACGGCAGAAAATACAGAGAATTTGATATCCCTTCTAGGTGCAGCAATAAGAGCAGCAGCAGCAGCAGCAGCAACAGTAGTAACAGCAGCAGCAACAACAACGACGCTCTAAGCAGCAGCACAAGGTATGAGGACGGCAGGAGCAGCAGCAACATTAGCAACAGCAACTGCAGCAATAACAGAGATAGCAGCAGCAGCTGCCGCGAAAGCAGCGCCACCAGCACTGTAAACCCTAGCGTCAAACCCAGCAGCAGCAGCGACCTGCAACCCTCCAGCAGCAGCAGCAGCAGCAACAGCAACCGCAGCAGCAGCACCACAGGCAGCAGTAACGCTGCCAACAGCTGCGGCAGTGGCGAACACAGCAGCACGACCAGCCAAGAGGGGTGCAGCAGCAGCAATTATGGCGTTCCCTGCAGCAGCAGCAGCAGCAACAGCAGCAGCAGCAACAGCAGCAGCACCACCAGCTGCAACGGCACCGATAACAGTAACATCGATGCCAAACCATGTGGAGATACGGAGGGCAGCAGCTGCAACAGCAACAGCAGCAGCAGCATCAGCATCAGCATCAGCAGCAGCAACAGCAGCAGCAACGCCGAAATCAAGCGTTGGGTAGACACGGAGGACAGCGAGAGTAACAGCCGCAGCAGCAACAGCAACAGCAGCAGCAGCAGCAGCAACAAAAGAGACAGCAACGGCACGGAGTGGAGCAGAGGTGTGTGCCACAGCAGCAGCATCCCCACTAACTGCAGCAGCAGCAGCAGCAGCAGGAACAGCAACAGCAGCAGCAACAGCACCAGCTGCAGCAGCACCAGCAACCTTGACATAGACACCCAAAGACGCAGCAGTTGCGGCGATGGTCTCTCCCCAGCAAGCGAGGCAGCACCTGCAGACTGCAGCAGCGGCAGCAGCAGCAGCAGCAAGGTGCATGCAGCCCATGACCTACCTGGGTTCTCTGCTGCAGCAGCAGATACCCCTGCAGCAGCAGCTGCAGCAGCAGCTCCCCTTATGCCGCCTGCTGCTGCACGGGAAGCTATCGCATGCAGTCCTACACAAACGTGTTCGCAGCCGGAGGAGCAGCAGCAGCAGCAGGAGCAGCAGCAGCAGCAGCAGCAGCACCAAGAGCATCCGGAAGAGGAAGCTACCCAGCTGGAAGAGCCCATAGGTGCTCCAGAGCAGCATGAGGTGTCTGAAGAGCTCCAGCAGGAGGTGCAGCAGCAAAAGCAGCGGCAGCAAGAGCAGCAGCAGCATATGGAACAGCAGCAGCAGCTGCAGCAGGGGAAGCAGCTGCAGCAGCTGGAGGACCAGCAGCAGGGGCAGCAGCAGCAGCAGCAGCGCCAGCCACGAGAAGTTGTTGCCTCTGCCGCTATGAACAGCAGCAACAGCAGCAGACACTGCAGCAGCGGTGAATACAAGCGAGCCAGCAGCAGCAGAAGCAGCAGCAGGCGCAGCAGCAGAAGCAGCAGCAGGGGCAGCACCAGCAGCAGACGAAGCGAAGGCATTGGCGAGTCTCAGACTCTGCTGCTGCATCAGCAGCAGCAACCACTGCAGCAGCAGAAGGATACCCATCAGCAACAGCAAACGCTGCACTTGCAGCAGCAGCAGCAGGACGAGGAGTGGGCGCAACGGCAGCAGCAGCAGCAAGAGGACCAACAGCAGCAAGACCAGCAGCAGCAGGAGCAGCAGCAACAGCACCAACAAGAACAGGACCAGCAGCAGCAGCAACAAAAGAAACAGCAGCAACAGGAGCAGCAGCAGCGAGACCGCTTGCAGCACCACCAAAAGCAGCAGCAGCTGCAGCAGCAGCAGCATGCAGAAGAGCCCAACAGTATTTCTGCTGCTACGGGAGATGGAGCAGCAGAAAAATCCTCGCAGTCAGCTGTAGCAGCAGCAGCAGCAGCAGCAGGGCTTGTAGCGGCAGCAGCACCACCACCAGTGCCAGCAACAGCAGCAGCAGTTGCAGCAGCACCAGCAACAGCAACAGCAGCAGCAGCATCAACGCCAGCAGCAAGGCAAGTGGCGGCAAACTGGCGCCTCAATGAGGATCATGCAGAAGCAGCAGATGCAGCAGAAGCAGCAGAAGCAGCAGAAGCAGCAGCAGCAGCAGATGAGCGCGTGGTTGCTGACTGCTGTTCCCTTCGAAAAGCACTTGAGGAGAAGCCGGCCGTAAGCATCAGCAGCAGCAGCAGCAGCAGCAGCAGCAGTTGCTGCAGCAGCAGCAGCAACAACAAGAGTAGCAGCAGGATAGATAGGTTGTATGGGGGTGTATGTACAGCTGCTGCACGCTGCTGCTGCAGATATTTGTTTTGCTGCTCTCTGTCTTGCCTGTTGTTTATTAAACACAAAACATCTTAGTTTATGCATACTTATAAATAAATATATCAATATGAATAAAATTATATATATATACACATATATAAAATATATATATATATATATATATCTATATCTATATATATACATATATATATATGTAAGTGTATGTGCATGTATATTTTATTCATATATGTTGCTGCTGCATTTGCATTTGCTGCTGCTGCATTTGCTCCTGCTGCCGTTGCATTTGTTGCTAATGTTGTTGCTGCCTGTGCTGCTGCATTTGCTGCTGCAGCATTTGCTGCTGCTGCTGCTGCTGCATTTGCTGTTGCTGTGGCATTTGCTGTTGCTGGGTTTAGCAGCAGAACCTGCAGCTGTCTATTTGTTGCAGCAGCAAATGCTGCTGCTGCTGTTAACAGCCGCAGCAAATGGGTGGATATGTGCTGCTTTGTGCTGCTGCAGGATGCAGCAGAAGTACATTTGCTGCTGAAAGCAGCAAAACATTTGCTGCTGCAAGAAGCAACTCAGGAGACACTCATGCTTTGTTTGAAGGTGCGTCTCTGTTTATGTTTTTAGCTTTTCGTCTCTTCTGCTGTCTCTTCATGCTGCTTCTGCTGCTGCTGCTGCTGTTCTATGTGCTGCTGCTCGCAATCAGAGGCAGCTGTCTCCTTCCAGCAGCAATGCTGCTGCTGCTGCTGCTGCTGTCGCTAATACTTTCTCTTTATTTGTTCTATCTTTTCTTCTCTCTCTGTATTTCTCTCTCTTTTTGTTGCTGTCTATTTATTTGTTTTATTTATTTATTTATTATTTTAAACAATTTATTTATTTATTTATTTATTATTTTAATTTGTTTTTATTTTTATTTTTTTAGCTGTCGGGCATAGGCCGCTGCATTCAGTCGCTCGCGAAGAGACAAGAAGTAAGCGCTGAAGTTAAATTAAAAGCAAAGACCCTCATTACTTCATTAAAAGAGAGAATTGCTGCTGCTTCACAGCAGCAGCAGCAGCAGGAACAGCAGCAGCAGCAACAGAAACAGCTGCTCATGCAGCAGCAGCAGCAGCAGAAACAGCTGCAGCAGCAGCAGCAGCAGCAGCAGCAGCAACAGGAGCAGCAGCAGAATCAGCTGCCGTTGCCGGAGCAGAAGGTGGAGCAGCAGCAGAAACAGGTGCTGCTGCAGCAGCAGCAACAGCAGCAGCAACAGCAGGAGCAACAGCAGCAGCAACTGCAACTGCAGCAGCAGCAGGAAGACGAGCTGCAGCAGCAACAGCAACAACACCAGGAACTGCAGCAGCAGCAGCAGCAGCAGCAAGAAGATGACGATGAGGAGATGGAGTGTTCTCCATAGACACTCAAACCCTAAACCCTAAACCCTAAACCCTAAACCCTAAACCTCTTGTGGGTTTTGTAAAAGCAAGAAAACTACAAACTGCTGCAGCAGACGGCAGCAAAGAGTAAAAGAAAAGACAAAGAGAGACAAAGAGGAGATGCAGAAGTTAAGACAGATTAAAACAAACAAAGAGCACGAAAAGACAGAGACAGAGACAGAGACAGCAAAGTAAGACAAACAAATAAATAAAAAATAAAGACAGACAGAGACAGAGACAGAGACAGAGACAGAGAGAGAGACAGAGACAGAGAGAGAGAGACAGATAAACGAAAGGAGACAGAGACAGACAGAGAGACAGAGACAGAGACAGAGAGACAGAGACAGAGAGAGAGAGACATATAAACAAATGCAGCAAATATATATATATATATATATTGTTTGTCTTCTGTCTGTCTCTGTCTCTTTTCTTATTATTCAAAATATACAAATAAAGACAAACGACTACTTCCTCCCTTATGTATGCTAAACCCTAAACCCTAAACCCTAAACCCTAAACCCTAAACCCTAAACCCTAAACCCTAAACCGTATGCCCGAACATAGCCCGGGATGCAGCGCTAAGACGGCAGTCAGCAGCAGCAGCAGCACCGCGTGCTGCTGCTACTGCTGTTCCTGCTGATGCTGCTGCCTCTACTGCAGCGCGTCGTGCTAATTGCTATGCTGCTGCAGCTGTTGCATGCTGGCGTTGCTACTGCTGCTCAAGCTGGTGCTGCTACAGCTGGTGTTGCTGCTACCGCAGCAGCAGCAGCTGCTGCTGCTGCAGTTCCTAGCTGTTTATAATTGTTACTTTGCTGCTGCAATAGAACCAGGAGTTGCTGCTGCTGCAGAAAGGAGACAAAAAATAGAAAGCCGTCTTAGTTAATTCAACGCCATTTAAAAATATGTATGTACACCCCAAAGGGGGTTTCGCTGCTGCTAGGCTTAACGCTGCTGCTGCTGCATGCGCTGCTGCTGTTACTGCTGCAGTTGCTGCTAATGCAGCTGCTTCTGTTACTGCTGCAGTTGCTGCTAATGCAGCTGCTGCTGTTACTGCTGCAGTTGCTGCTAATGCAGGTTCTGCTGCTACTGCTGCTACTGCTGCTGCTGCTGCAGTTGCTGCTGCTCCGGTAGCTGCTGCTGCAGCTAGCAATGCACTGACTAGCGACACGCTGCTGCAAAAATTGGTATCAACAGAAATCCTAGAAACTAACATGTACGAGCGGCTGCTGCAGCTGGTGCTGCTGCTGCTGCAGCTGGTGCTGCTGCTGCTGCAGCTGGTGCTGCTGCTGGTGCAGCTCGTGGTGCTGCCGCTGCAGCTGGTGCTGCTGCTGCTGCAGCTGGTGCTGCAGTTGTTGGTTATGATGCTGCAACTGTTGGTGCTGGTGCTGCTGCTGCTGCAGCTGGTGCTGCTGCTGCTGCAGCTGGTGCTGCAGTTGTTGGTTATGATGCTGCAACTGGTGTTGCTGCTGCTGCAGCTGGTACTGCTGTATATGATGGTGCTGCGGAAGGTGCTGCTGCGGTTGCAGCTGGTGCTGCTGCAGCAGATGGTGCCGCTGTTTATGCTGCCGCTGCTGTTACTGCTGCAGCTGGTGCTGCTGTTTCTGCAGCCGCTGCTGCTGCTGCAGCTGATGCTGCTGCTTCTGCAGCTGCTGCTGGTGCTGCTGCTTCTGCTGCAGCTGCTACTGCAGCAGCTGGTGGTGCTGCTGCTGCCGCTGCTGCTGCTGCTAGTGTTGCAGCTGCTGCAGCTGGTGCTGCTGTATGTGATGCTGCTGCGGAAGGTGCTGCTGCTGCTGCAGCTAGTGGTGGTGGTGCTGCTGCTGCTGCAGCAACAGCTGGTGTTGCTGCTGCACCAGCTGGTGTTGCCGCTGCTGCAGCTGGTGCTGCTGTATATGATGCTGCTGCGGAAGGTGCTGCTGCTGCTGCAACTGATGCTGCTGCTGCAGCAGATGGTGCCGCTGCTTCTGCAGCTGGTGCTGCTGCTCCTGCAGCTGGTGCTGCTGTATAAGAGGCTGCTGCAGGAGGTGCTGCTGCTGCTGCAGCTGGTGGTGCTGTATACGAGTCTGTTGGGGGAGGTGCTTCTGCACCTGGCTGTGCTCTTGTT